ATCGACAATTGTAGAAAGACACAAATCATGTATGGGGTAGCAAATTAAACCATTCATCTATCGCACGAGAAGCGCACTATATAAAATTGATTGTCAATCTTAAATTCCCCCTTTTTAAAAAACTAAAAATGACCGTTTTACCCCAAAATACACAACCTAGCCTCAAAGGCGAGTCTCATTTGTTCTAAACACCCGATGGGCATCATCAAGGCAATCAATGCACAAAACAAGGCTCAAACAAAATACAAAGCTAATGGGGTGAACACTACACACATTAAGGGGGAATTTGAAATTACAAAGAAACGAAAATTAATTACTATATTAAATTCGGGTTGAGGAAATTGAAATTATATTGGTAATATACATTAGAGAAAAATGTTAGTTGTTACGATAATAGATAACATTTAATTTTTATTACACATATTTTCTCAATTTTGCGTAGATTACAATGTGTTTACCATTTATTGCTGAGTTTTTTTTGGTATAAAATGGATCCAGTTATGTAAAGTTTTGCAATTCATTACATTCCAATTGCAAATTAAATTAACTTGAGAGCGATGGAACAAGGTAACGGAGTTGGTGATTATCATCCGCCACTACCGCCGGTTAGGAGGTTGAGAAAGATGGAGTACCTTGGCTCTCCTCCTCCACAAAGACAATGTGATACACAAATGTTGGTTGGGGTTCATTGATAGCGAACCCGAATGATTGGTTGGACTTCTCCCATAGCTTTGACCAATCAACAACTGTAGAAAGACACTAATCATGTATGGGGTAACAAATTAAACCATGCATCTATCGCACGAGAAGCGCACGATAGAATTGATTGTCGATCTTACATTTCCCCTTTTTAAAAATCTAAAAATGATCGTTTTACCTCAAAATCCACAACCTAGCACCAAAGGCGAGTCTCATTTGTCCTAAACACCCGATGGCCATCATCAAGGCAATCAATGCACAAAACAAGGCCCAAACAAAATACAAAGCTAATGGGATGAACACTATACACATTAAGGGGGAGTTTGAAATTACAAAGAAATGAAAATTAATTACTATATTAAATTCGGGTTGAGGAAATTGAAATTATATTGGTATATACATTAAAGAAAAACGTTAGTTGTTATGACGATAGATAACATTTCATTTTTATTACACATATTTTCTCAATTTTGCGTAGATTACAATGTGTTTACCATTTATTGCTGAGTTTTTTTGGGTATAAAATGGATCCAGTTATGTAAAGTTTTGCAATTCATTATATTATATTCCAATTGCAAATTAAATTAACTTGAGAGTAATGGAACAAGGTAACGGAGTTGGTGATTATCATCCGCCACTACCGCCGGTTAAGAGGTTGAGGACGATGGAGTACCTTGGCTCTCCACCTCCACCAAGACAATGTGATACACAAATGTTAGTTGGGGTTCATTGATAGCGAACCCAAATGATTAGTTGGACTTCTCCAGTAGCTTTGACCCATCAACAACTGTAGAAATACACTAATCATGTATGGGGTAGCAAATTAAACCATGCATTTATCGCACGAGAAGCGCACGATAGAATTGATTGTCAATCTTAAATCCCAACTTTTTAAAAAATCTAAAAACGATCGTTTTACCCCAAAATCCACAACCTAGTACCAAAGGCGACTCTCATTTGTCCTAAACACCCGATGGGCATCATCAAGGCAATCACTGCACAAAACAAGGACCAAACAAAATACAAAGCTAATGGGGTGAACACTACACACATTAATAGGGAGTTTGAAATTACAAAGAAATAAAAATTAATTACTATATTAAATTCGGGTTGAGGAAATTGAAATTATATTTGTAATATACATTAAAGAAAAATGTTAGTTGTTACGATGATAGATAACATTTAATTTTTATTACGCATATTTTCTCAATTTTGCGAAGATTACAATATGTTTACTATTTATTGTTGATTTTTTTTTTTTTGGGTATAAAATGGCTCCAGTTATGTAAAGTTTTGCAATTCATTATATTCCAATTGCAAATTAAATTATCTTGAGAGTGCTGGAACAAGGTAACGAAGTTGGTGATTATCATCCACCACTACCGCCGGTTAGGAGGTTGAGGACGATGGAGTACCTTGGCTCTCCTCCTCCACCAAGACAATGTGATACACAAATGTTGGTTGGGGTTCATTGATATAGAACCCGAATGATTGGTTGGACTTCTCCAGTAGCTCTGACCCATCAACAACAGTAGAAAGACATAAATCATGTATGGGGTAGCAAATTAAACAATACATTTATTGCACGAGAAGCGCACGATAGAATTGATTGTCAATCTTAAATCCCACCTTTTTAAAAATCTAAAAACGACCGTTTTACCCCAAAATCCACAACCTAGCACCAAAGGCGACTCTCATTTGTCCTAAACACCCGATGGGCATCATCAAGGCAATCAATGCACAAAACAAGGACCAAACAAAATACAAAGCTAATGGGGTGAACACTACACACATTAATAGGGTGTTTGAAATTACAAAGAAATAAAAATTAATTACTATATTAAATTCGGGTTGAGGAAATTGAAATTATATTTGTAATATACATTAAAGAAAAATGTTAGTTGTTACGATGATAGATAACATTAAATTTTTATTACGCATATTTTCTCAATTTTGCGAAGATTACAATATGTTTACCATTTATTGCTGATTTTTTTTTTTTTTGGTATAAAATAGCTCCAGTCATGTAAAGTTTTGCAATTCATTATATTCCAATTGCAAATTAAATTATCTTGAGAGTGCTGGAACAAGGTAACGGAGTTGGTGATTATCATCCACCACTACCGCATGTTAGGAGGTTGAGGACGATGGAGTACCTTGGCTCTCCTCCTCCACCAAGACAATGTGATACACAAATGTTGGTTGGGGTTCATTGATATAGAACCCGAATGATTGGTTGGACTTCTCCAGTAGCTCTGACCCATCAACAACAGTAGAAAGACATTAATCATGTATGGGGTAGCAAATTAAACAATACATTTATTGCACGAGAAGCGCAGGAGAGAATTGATTGTCGATCTTACATTCCCTCTTTTTAAAAATCTAAAAAACCGTTTTACCCCAAAAATCCAAAACCTAGCACCAAAGGCGAGTCTCATTTAACCTAAACACCCGATGGGCATCATCAAGGCAATCAATGCACAAAACAAGGCCCAAACAAAATACAAAGCTAATGGGGCGAACACTACACACATTAAGGTGGAGTTTGAAATTACAAAGAAATGAAAATTAATTACTATATTAAATTCGGGTTGAGGAAAATGAAATTATATTGGTAATATACATTAAAGAAAAATGTTAGTTGTTACAACGATAGATAACATTTAATTTTTATTACGCATATTTTCTCAATTTTGCGTAGATTTCAATATGTTTACCATTTTTTGCTGAGTTTTTTTTTTTTTTTTTTTTTTTTTTGTATAAAATGGCTCCAGTTATGTAAAGTTTTGCAATTCATTATATTCCAATTGCAAATTAAATTAGCTTGAGAGTGATGGAACAAGGTAATGGAGTTGGTGATTATCATACGCCACAACCGCCGGTTAGGAAGTTGAGGATGATGGAGTACCTTGGCTCTCCTCCTCCACTGAGACAATGTGATACACAAATGTTGGTTGGGGTTCATTGATAGCGAACCCGAATGATTGGTTGGACTTCTCCCGTAGCTTTGACCCATCAACAACTGTAGAAAGACACTAATCATGTATGGGGTAACAAATTAAACCATGCATTTATCGCACGAGAGGCGCACAATGGAATTAATCTTCGAACTGAAATTCCCCCTTTTTAAAAATATAAAAATGACAATTTTACCACAAAATCCACAACCTAGCACCAAAGGCGAGTCTCATTTGTCCTAAACACCCGATCGGGATCATCATGGCAATCAATGCACAAAACACGGCCCAAACAAAATACAAAGCTAATGGGGTGAACACTACACACATTAAGGGGGAGTTTGAAATTACAAAGAAATTAAAATTAATGACTATATTAAATTCAGATTGAGGAAATTGAAATTATATTCGTAATATAAATTAAAGAAAAATGTTAGTTGTTACGACGATAGATAACATTTAATTTTTATTACGCATATTTTCCCAATTTTGTATAGATTACAATGTGTTTACCATTTATTGCTGAGTTTTTTTGGTATAAAATGGCTCCAGTTACGTAATATTTTGCAATTCATTATATTCCAACTGCAAATTAACTTAGCTTGTGAGTGATGGAACAAGGTAACGGAGTTGGTGATTATCATCGACCACTACCGCCGTTAGGAGGTTGAGGACGATGGAGTACCTTGGCTCTCCTCCTCCACCAAGACAATGTGATACAGAAATGTTGATTGGGGTTCATTGATTGCGAACCCGAATGATTGGTTGGACTTCTCCCGTAGCTTTGACCCATCAACAACTATAGAAAGACACTAATCATTTATGGGGTAGCAAATTAAACCATGCATTTATCGCACGAGAAGCGCACGATAGAATTGATTGTCAATCTTAAATTCCCTCTTTTTTAAAAACTAAAAATGACCGTTTTACCCCAAAATCCACAACCTAGCACCAAAGGCAAGTCTCATTTGTCCTAAACACTCGATGGGCATCATCAAGGCAATCAATGCACAAAACAAGGCCCAAACAAAATACAAGCTAATGGGGTGAACACAACACAAATTATGGGGGAGTTTGAAATACAAAGAAATGAAAATTAATTACTATATTAAATTTGAATTGAGGAAATTGAAATTATATTCGTAATATACATTAAAGAAAAATGTTAGTTGTTACGACGATAGATAACATTTAATTTTTATTACGCATATTTTCTCAATTTTGGGTATATTACAATGTGTTTACCATTTATTGCTGAGTTTTTTTTTCGGTATAAAATGTCTCTATTTATGTAAAGTTTTCAATTTATTATATTCCAATTGCAATTAAATTAGCTTGAGAGTGATGGAACAAGGCAACGGCGTTGGTGATTATCATCCGTCATTGCCGGTGGTTAGGAGGTTGAGAACGATGGAGTACCTTGGCTCTCCTCCTCCACCAAGACAGTGTCCTCGTTTTCATTCCAACGACACCAAATTCTGTTATTTTAAAAACTACAACATGATTCAACCAAGGTATTACTGTCGGACATGCAAGCGCCACTGGACTCATGGTGGCATTCAACGTGACATCACCATTGGCGGCAAGCCCCACAAGGGAAGGAAATTTATCAACATGTACGAGAATAGGAGGGTTCAACCAACGCCGCCTCAACTCCAACCATCTTGTCCACGAGCAAATGTAGCTCCAGTAACTTTCGGTCCTTTGGCGCTTCCTTCGACGGTGACACCTTATCGTGTCGAAAATGGGTCTCTCAATATGGTAAACCCACTGAGAACTATTGAGCCCCCATATAACTCAAGCCAAAATTCTTTCCAGCCTACAACTAGGGATTATTGTTCAAGGATATTATTGTTCAAGGACCCAGAATTTCTTTTTGAACAACAATGATGGAGCTAGTTCATCTAACTCTATTCGATTGAATGCCTTCGTGTACAGTCGCAACACCGGTGGATACACAAATGATGGTTGGGGTTCATTGATAGCGAACCCGAATGATTGGTTGGAGTTCTTCCATGGCTTTGACCCATGAACATGAAGAGTTATATGTTAGTGCTTGTAGAGCCATTTAATGCTTAATTTATTTTGAGTACTACAAAATAAATTAAATTAAATTTAAATTAAAGGTAGTTTTTTATTTAGGTACTTAGAGGGTTAATCGAGTAACCTTTCATGTCACCTCTTGTACCATATTGATTGTTAAATAAATTAAATGGCTTTGTTTTAATTTACTTCACCTTAATTTATGTTACATTATATTTTATGAAGCATATGTGCGAGTGCGAGTGTGAGTGTTTAGGTGCGTAGCATGTCAACCACATATGCTTGTTATCTTTTATCTTCTTCATCTTAAATGCATGTATATATTCTAATTTCTTAAACTAGTAAGTAATTTTATTTTGCAGTATTATATTATTTTTAAAGAAAAATAAAAGATAATTTGTAGTTCTATTCAACTTCATAATTGTAAATTTTAATCTACAGTTCCTCCGTTATGTTAAAGTTACTTTCTATTCTCTTTATAATCGAGTAGTTTTTTAAGTCAATTTTAATGTCAGCTTGGGTGCTACCTTAGTAGTCAACGAAGGAATAAATTAAATAGCTTTGATTTAATTAATTGTATCCAAGATTTGCTCACGGTAAACCCTCTCTTATGTAATAGCACACAAACTGCACGGGAGAGACAAATCACTCTAGGAAGACCCTGTAAGGTAGGCTTGATCAAGAGAGTGTTTGTAAGAATTGAACTCGTGACCTTCTTGTACAAGAATAATGCTCTACACACTTGACCACCCATTTTGGTAGTTCGCACCGGAAAGGTGATTCTCAATTGATCTTGCCCCTATATGTATATATAACGGCATACGAATATTTTTTACATGAAAAGAATTAAAATACATTAATTTTAACATTAAGTTAAAGCACAAATACTATGAACATAATTTGGGGATTACATATGATTTTATAAGTTAGTTGCAGATGATATACTATGGGTCCAAAATTACTCAAATATCATAAATTATGTGATTTTCAGAATAAAAAAAATATCTTTAATGAGAGTTTTAATGTTAACTTTTAAATGCATGTTTATGTAATAATTTCTCATGTACCATGAATATATGGTACATTTTTAATATACTAAATGTATATTATATGTGTACTAAATGTACATAATTTGATAGTATATATATATATATATATATATATATATATATATATATATATATATAATGTACTTTTAACACTAAAATAATGTATTCTCAAATAACGTATTTTACATATATAAAAATGTATTGTTAGTATATTAAAAATGTTCTTTTTATTTATGATCCACACGATTGTGTGGATCATGTTCATGCAATAATGATTGAGTAGTGGAGTGTTGGGCTAATAAATATTGTTTTGGGAATGGGTTGAATGTGAATTGGTTGGGGACGGAGAGAGAAATGGTATGCAAATTATCGTTTCTCTCTCTTTATTAAATGCACGGAATAATAAACCTACTTTTAAAATGGTGATAGAACGGTACATTACATATTTTTATCCAATTCCTAAAATCTACATCAAATTGTCGAATCATAAACGCGAATAGTATGTCTGGAATAATTGGATACTGAAATGTTGTGCATGGGTTGTGGATATAAAAGGAGGAAAACCCACTTTGGGGAGTCCGACTCTCTATTATTGAAAGTCAGTCTATCCAAGTCCGAAATACTTTTTTTTTTACATTTTTTTTTTATTCTCTATTTCTGGATAGCTCAATAATCTTTGCAGAAATACACTACTCATGTATGGGGTAGCAAATTAAACCATGCATCTATCGCACGAGAAGCGCACTAAAACTAAGGATAATTGTCGATCTTCAATTCACTCTTGGGTGTCGGGTTTCTTGGCGGCGACGGAACCAGTAGAGCCAAATGGTCTAGCACACAAATGAAATGCACAAAACAAGGCCCAAACAGAATACAAAGCTAATGGGCTGAACACTACACACATTAATGGAGAGTTTGAAATTACAAAAAAATGAACATTAATTACTAATTTACTATATTAAATTTGGATTCAGGAAATTGAAATTATATTCGTAATATACATCGAAGGAAATTGCAAGTTGTTATGAAGATGATAACAATTAGACTTTTCTTAATTTTATTTTTGCCCTAGTTTCTCTAAATCTTATTTTATTGATTCAGCTATGGAAAAATTTTTCAAAAGAAAATCAACTTTTGGGGATTCATCTAGTCAAAGTAGTCACGAAGTGTCAAGTACAAAACCTCCTATTGAAGTTAACATACCTTTGCTTCTTCGCCCCATCACTAGAAATTCCGGCTCTGTCCCTGAATGTGAGTGGCATGTGAATATAGATATTTTATAGTTTATACAACCACATATGCTTGTTATCTTTTATCTCCTTCATCTTAAATTATTGTCAATACATATCATTATAAATGTATTCTAATTTCTTAAACTAGTAAGTAATTTTATTTTTCATTAATATATTATCTTAAAAGAAAAATAAAAGATAATTTCTAGTCTGGGTATTAGCGGTAATCAACTTCATAATAGTAAACTTTAATCTATAGTTTTCCGTTATGTTAAAGTTAGTTTCTATTATCTTTATAGTTAAGTACTTTTAAGTCGCCAAGCACCTTGTGCTCAGATGGCTCATATAGGAGGTTGTGAGTTCGAGCCTCAGTGGATGCGTTATTAGCTCTTCGTGTTTCAGTATGTTGAGAAAGTAGTTATAAACTGATACTACATTGTAATAGAGTCAGTAACTTTTTTAATGGGTCTCGGCGCTGCACTATGCTTATCCCATCCCGGGATTGCCGGAAGTCAAGCACGCTTAACCACAGAGTTTTATGGTACCGGGTTGCTATATCCTACTTAAAACCAATTGGTGATAGGTAGGTGGACATTAACCATTTAACCACTCTCTCTATGGTAAGCCACAGCGCCACGTCTCGAATCGAGCAGGGGCTGAACTCGGCCGACGCCCAACACATGCTACCTTAGTAGTCAACGAAGGAATAAATTAAATAGTTTTGATTTAATTAATTGTACCTAAGATTTGCTTAGGGTAAACTCTATGTAATTGCACACTAACTGCACGGAAGAGACAAATCACTCTAAAAAGACCCTGTCGGGTGGGCTTGGCCATGAGAGTGAGAATTTATAAGTTAGTTGCAGATTATATACTATCGGTCCAAAATTACTCAAATATCATTAATTATGTGATTTTCATAATAGAAAAAATATCTTTAGTGAGAGTTTTAATGTTAACTCTTAAATGCATGTTTCTGTAATAATTTCTCATGAATATATGATATATTTTTAATATACTAAATATACATTATTTGATAGTATATATAAAATAATGTACTCTCAAATAATGTATTTTACGTATATAAATAACGTACCATTAGTATATTGAAAATGTACTTTTTATTTATGATCCACATGATTGTGTGGATCATGTTCCATGCAATAATGATTGAGTAGTGGGAGGTTGGGCTAATAAATATTGTTTTGGGAATGGGTTGAATGTGAATTGGTTTGGGAGGGAGAGAGAAACGATATGCAAATTACGGTATGGGGCTAGTGGCATGCAACCGAGGTTGTGGATGACTAGACTTTGCGGGTTAGACGCCAGACTAGCATTTGAAGGTCACTTGATTAAACTTGGTTGATGTGGAAGTAAGGACTGAATAAGAAAAGTCTTGGACCAAAAGAGGCACAGTCAAATGGTCTAGCATACAAATGAAACGAACTCAATGCAAAAAACAAGGCCCAAACAAAATACAAACCTAATGGGCTGAACACTACACACATTAAGAGGGAGTTTGAAATTACAAAGAAATGAAAAGTAATTACTATATTAAATTCGAATTGAGGAAATTGAAATTATATATTTGTAATATACATTAAAAAAAATGTTAGTTGTTACGAAGATAGATAACATTTAATTTTATTACGCATATTTTCTCAATTTTGCATAGATTACAATGTGTTTATCATTTATTGCAAAGTTTTTTTCGGTATAAAATGGCTCCAATTATGTAAAGTTTTGCAATTCATTATATTCCAATTGCAAATTAAATTAGCTTGAGAGTGATAGAACAAGGTAACGGAGTTGGTGATTATCATCCGCCACTGCCGCCGGTTAGGAGGTTGAGGACAATGGACTCCCTTGGCTCTCCTCTTCCACCAAGAGAATGTCCTCGTTGTCATTCCAACGACACCAAATTTTGTTATTTTAACAACTACAGCATGAATCAACCAAGGTATTACTGTCGGACATGCAAGCGCTACTGGACTCATGGTGGCATTCAACGTGACATCCCCATTGGCGGCAAGCCCCACAAGGGAAGGAAATCTACCAACAGGTACGAGAATAAGTGGGTTCAACCATCTCCGCCTCAACTCCAACCATCTTGTCCACGAGCAAATGTAGCTCCAGTAACTTTTGGTCCTTTGGCGCTTCCTCCGACGGTGACACCTTATCGCGTCGAAAATGGGTATCTCAATATGGTAAACCCACTGAGAATTATTGAGCCACCATATAACTCAAGCCAATACGCTTTCCAGCCTACAACTAGGGATTATGGTCAGAATTTCTTTTTGAACAATAATGATGGAGCTAGTTCATCTAACTCCATTCCATTGAATGCCTCCGTGGGCAGCCGCACCACCGATGGATACACAAATGTTGGTTGGGGTTCTTTGATAGTGAACCCGAATGATTGGTTGGACTTCTCCCGTAACTTTGACCCATCAACATGATGAGTTATATGCTATTGCTTCTAGAGCCATTTAATGCTTAATTTCTTTTGAGTACTACAAAAGAAATTAAATTTAAATTAAAGATAGTTTTTATATTTAGGTACTTAGAGGGTTAAACGATTAAACTTTCATGTCACCTCTTGTACCATATTGATTGTTAAATAAATTAAATGGCTTTGATTTAATTTACTTCACCTTAATTTATGTTATATTTCATGAAGTATATGTGCGAATGTGAGTGTTTAGGAGCGTAGCATGTACAAAGAATAAATTAAATAGCTTTGATTTAATTAGTTGTACTCAAGATTTGCTCAGAGAAAATCATCTCTTATGTAATAGCACACAAACTGCACGGAAAAGGCAAATCACTTTAGGAAAACCCTGTAGGGCGGACTCGACCAAGAGAGTATTGATAAGAATTAACTCGTGAGCTCGTTTTGCTATCATGTTATAAATGCATGTCTACATGATGCACAATCAAGTATTACAAGATTAATAATAGGTAGTTCGCAACGGAGAGGTAATTCTCAATTGATCCTGCTCCTATATGTATATATAACGGTATACGAGTATTTTTTTACATGAAAAAAATAAAAATAAAGTACATTAATTTTTGGTGCAAACACAAATAATCTGAACATAATTCGGGGATTACATTGATTTTATATGTTAGTTGCAGATTATATACTATCGGTCCAAAATTACTCAAATATCATTAATTATGTGATTTTCAGAATAGAAAAAGTATCTTTAATGAGAGTTTTAATGTTAACTCTTAAATGTATGTTTCTGTAATAACTTCTCGTGTACATGTGAATAAATTACTATAGTCAATGATAAACATCATTCAATATAATAGTAAATTATTACTTTTGTAAATAAACAGATTACATTATTACTGAAATATATTTACCTTGTATAGTTTCATCCCCTTAAAATAAATTTTTGTAAAGATAGAATAATATTTCATTGTGTTATCCATAATAATAGTCAAAGATCAGGGGAGAAATAAGACGCAAATTATGCTGTAGACCTCAGTCCACTTTATGTTAAAAGATAAATTGTGAACATTTGGACTCAAGTCCACTTGTCCACCGAATAATTTGTGGTTCGAACATCTTTCCAACAATAATTAATTTCCTCCTTTTGATCTCTTCGTGTTTCCTAACAATAGTTATGCCATGGACCTAGACCCAGGCCCAAAATGACGCAGTTTGCACGTGTAAAAATAACAGTGCTGTTAGTGGCACCGTTTCCGCAGCCAATGATTTTTTTTTTTTTTAATTATTGAAAACAACTCAGCGAGTGAATATTTAGTTCTATAATTGTGAATATAGAGTTATGAAATTGTGAACATAGAGTTCTATAATTGTAAATATAGAGTTCACAAATTGTAAATATAATTTTATATTTCTGTTTGTTAATTTACATTCTATTTTGAAACACTTAAAATGTATTCACTATCTTATTTTTCCAAAAAGGGTCTAAAGGTGATGAAGTCAATAGTCCAGTGATACAGACTCAACAGAATCCTAAGCTAAATGAGACTGAAAATTCAAACACTGTCAAAAGATGCATTCTGGACCAGTTCTCTTCATAACATATGCATTCTGGACCAGTTCTCTTCATCTAACAAACATAAAAAGTCCAAGAATGACACTTTGAAACAAGATAAAATTTGAAGTTTGTGTGTTTGGGGACAAAGTTTTAGAACTGTAATGTTGTTTTCCATGAATTTTGGATTTATTTAATTGGTAGCACTATTACAGTGCTATCAATTCTACTCATGCTTTCTATTTTGCTATTGGCTAAAGTGCAATTTAAAACTCATATTTCACATTAAAACTTGTATTACTCTAAATTTATATTGGTTACTTTTTAGTTCTTATACACGTGTTTATATTATTCTCTATGTTTTGATTTGTGTGTTGATATTAGTCCATCTTTGAATATTTATTTAAAATTGGTTTCAGGACTTACAATTAACTATTCCTATGTCAAGCACAAAAAACAGGCATGGAGCATCAAAAATATTGAATACACATTAGTAAAGTAGGTGCAAGAAATGAAGACACCTGGGTAGCAATATGTCATCCTTCACATTCCCAGGATGAGATAAGCAGCAATGTACTATCAAATTGTAGTGAACCATCAATCTGTAAATTATGGATTTGTTTAGAACTTAGAAAGTGTATTTTAACTTTATAACTTATAAAATATATATCAAAATACCCATCAATTGTTGAATATATACCTTGATTACAGAAAATAGTTAACTTATAAATTTGTTAAAACAATCTTTCCAAAACAAATCTCGATTAAAAAACAAATTTTGCCTTCTGAGCAAACAAATAAAAATCAAATAAAGCTAAGATGTAAGTCTTATTTGAGCAAACAAATTAAAATCAAATCAAGCTAGATGTAACTCTTATTTTAGCACACAAATACAAATCCAATAAAGCAAACTATAAGATTTTAAAACATATGCAATTGT